TTGCTGCTGTATTACCTGTTGAATGTTGAATGCACTCACGTGATGACGGCGTGGTCAAGGACCTTGAACAACACTTGTGCCATCTCCACCTCCTTGTAGTCTCACATCTCTGTCTCTGTCTTCATCTATCACGCGAAGATTCTCTACGAGTTTGGGCATTTATTAGAAGTAAATTACTCATTTATGAGTCAATATTTTGGCCTCCAAGCAGACATTTAAATAGGTTAGGCCTAAATCATTAGCTGTACAATAAAATGTGGTAAACTGGACCCAGCTGTCTCTGATCATTGGTCTTTAAATAAATGATCTTGCCAAATTAAACCGGTGATCTTAGTCAGTAACACAGCTACATAGATCATCTGACCACATTCTTCACTCATACTTTACTCATATTTGGGTTAAAATACTCCGGATGGCATCCCCATCTCAATTATTGGTACAGGTTCATGGTTCAAAGATAAATTACGTATAACAATCGATTTTTGAATACTGAAGTGGACGTCTCACTATATGGACCAACTGAAGCAAATTTTTATACAGACATTAAACAGTTTAAAGAACCCCCCACAGATTGCACTATGTATTCATTATTGAAGCTATATTTCCCTTTCAGTTGTTGATACTACTATAGTTGGTAGTGAAGAAAAAGATACTTAAGGTTTCGATAAATTGGCTTTAATATTAGGTACGAACGTAAAGTCGGTGAATGAGTAAAGAAACGGCCTTTTACAATAGCGCATTGTAACATATGCATGTAACATTGTATGTATCATTGCAACAACACATTGTCTAAGACTGTAGCTCGTGACTCGATTGATCCAACGATTTTCTAATTATCAAATGCAACTCCAATATGGAAATAAATGTATCACCGTACTGTTTGGCTATAGCGCCGGAATCTGTGGTCTAAGATTACCAGTCATTTTCTAAGCAGGTATTTTATTAAAATGTGTATATGTAAAATTTTGTTTTCCTATTTTCGGGAATTTTCTCAACGGAACATAACGAACGCGTTTTCACTATCAACCGTAAGCCCCTTGTTCTATAGCGCAATTGTCATAATTTGCACAATTAACACGATTAATATCATAATTGATAGTGCCAATAATTTACATGAACAGTTTTACGATATTATAAATACGCAGCACATTATAAGCAAGCATTCTGATGATCGAACTTTATTTAAAAGGATACCAAGACAAATGAAAATAAATGTTAAAGTTAGGTTATTAGCATAAATTATTCCACCAGTCTATACCAGTTTTGTTTTTACAAGTTCCACTTAACGAGCCGCCAAAGCTGAGCTGTCAGTCAACTTATCTCATTACGTACTTCACATAGACTGTGACAAAAACCAGACTTGGCTATAATTCGAAGCACGTCCATACAGTACTTGTATACAGAGTACAAAGTACCACCCACATTGTCAGCACTCTGTATATTCATACACACTGAAACACATATCAAGCTAAACATATACAGCCATATGTTTTCTAGAAGGGTGGTTCTATTCTTCATTAAGGGCTTATGTCAGAGAAGTCTGCAGTTCCCAATTTGTTCTACAAGACTTTGTACATTGTAGTTGAGTATTACAAACAGCTGGATGGTACACACTTTACACTTTTAACATATTATCTATATCAACAATGTTTAAACCTACATTGCACCATCGATCTCTATTATTATAGAGATCTATGCATTGCACACATCAAAGCATATTGTATTACAAATCCTATAGTACATTCATAATTGTAATCAAATTGTTCCACCCTGAGTAAATGAAAAGAAACGCCACATCACAAATCAATTAAATGACTCAAAAACCTTATTAATTAAAAAATTAACTGACTACTGATATCATAAAAAAGTAAGGAATTACGAAACGTGTATGAACTAAGTGGTAACGGTGCTCACGGTAGATTTTATTTAAATGAATAGAAAGTAAGAGGCAAAGTAAATCGTTTTAGTAAGTGAAAGTCAGTCTATGTATATTCAAATTATAAGAAATTGTATTTTCAATATTTTAAGCCATCGAGGTAGACTTCTTTTAAACAAAATAAACAAACTTAAATTGTCCCAAATTCTGGAGATGACGTATTTAATTCCAAGTATACTGCATATTTTCAAACACCTCTGTGCTTGCAAATATAACGATCAGACACGGAGAAAACCAATATAAATACGCCCACTCATAAAGTTCATACATATTGACCTTATATCCCGAAATAAAATAAAGTTTTGATGGACTTCCGCGAAACAGATTTGATTAGTAATAAATGTAGCTAAACTGATCACAGTCACTGTACACTGTAAACGGTCCAGGGAGAGCGTGAACGCTGTTGTGGCTCAATTAGACCTGTGATTGGCGACTTAATGGGGTCCGGAATTGCAAATCACGGCGAGTGCGACAATTGGAGTGAGGACTTGGTTATAATAATGGTTGACACACGAGATATAACAAAGGGAATGTGACATCAAACACGAGTTACGTTTGTGACCAAATTGCGATCGTTATTCGACTCCAAGTGCATCAATCATTTGACTGTTTTTGGTTTAACATTGCTTGTTACTATTTCGGTTTTAGTGTAGATGTGTTACTCTAATTATTCAGATTTTGTACTAAAAATGTTAGTTCTATTACTAACTTCGCAATTTTTATTTCCCATTTGGCAAAGGCAAAGTTAATCCAAAAACCAACGCAAGTTACCTGCAATTGTATTATAACTTAAAAGACAACTGGACACTCGTTCTGGAATAATGATGTTCTACATTCTGGAACAAAACAAAAAGGTGTAAAACTAATTTGTAACTAAAGACGTAAAATTCTACATTCTTCAGGTGTAAAACAAAAAGGATTACAGGCATTTTTAAGAATGGTGCATTTTAATTTACTTTAATTTACTTGTAATTGGCAAAAGTTTGCTTGTAAAAGAGAACTTTGTATCTGATGTACGATGCATAAATAAATACGTTATTTATTGATTTATTTTACATTATAATTACAATTGATTTGAGACAGCTACACCACCTTTGCATGTTTTAAGCTGAGTGGGGAAAGGAATTTAGAATAGATGTGTATATTTGTTCTTGGATGAGGTTAGTTGCTTATTTAGCCAGTACTTTACTGAGATAGATTTTTAGTGCGTATTAGCAAATGGCAAGCTAAATGTAAATGAAGGATGAGTTTTTAATTGAGATGATCTTTGTGGCTTTTAACTGACTAAGACCAAGACCAGTCTTTTCCTTGTCAGGATCTTATTAAAAGTCCAATGATCAAGGAATGCTGGGTCCAGATACAAGCCAAGTGATTACCTTTCTTGGGATCAAGCTCGAACCGGAGAAGTCTTAATTGTCGGACTAGCAATAAAGCCACTACCCTACTCATCTTTATAATCAAAATTAATTCAACAGCGCTATTATTAGGCTCGAATTTCTATTGTTTTTAAAACAAAAAATAAATTATGGATATAGTCAATGGTTGAAATCTGTAGTTGTGTCAGGCAGGACAAAGGTTAAATTATATAATTCATTATTTCGTTATTTTTGATTAATTTAAACAGCATGAATAACCCCGCCACAGCAAACCTGAAGTATAAGCGAATTGAATTGGTCTGATTGGATTTTAACTAAAACATTTTCATATACAAGTCATACTCCTCACTTAAATCACTCGTTTTTACGAGTGCTTAGGTTTGCATCTACGGGGAAAGTAAAAAGTTGTTTTTATCAAATGTATATATCATAGGCTGAAATAAAAATAATTGACAAATTGTATCAAAACATAACCATAAATATGCAAATTACAACAGTTTACTTTCTTCCATGGTATGTGGGTTTTAAATGTACAGTTATTTTGGAATTTACTCAGTAACCTTAATTGTTCAACAATGCTTCAATATGCACAATTGTGTTTATTTAAAGCTGTACAATACAATCAAAGGCAATTCAGAATGCACACTCGTTCTCTAGCAAATAGCAAAGACCTAGTCCTAAACTTCACGTCATCAGATAAAAAATAAGTTTTAACTATATAAAACATGATGAAGATTTTTTATTTTTAAAGCATATCAATTTTATTTAAAAAATTACATAGAAAAGATTTTAATTTTAAAATACTAGCTACTTGGGATGTATAAAAAAATAAAATGAAAGCTCAATAGAGCAATGGGGGAATTGCGGCAACATCTTCAAATTGAATGCTTAGAATTTTACGTCTAGTTCCCCGTACTCGAATGATGGAAAGCTGGCTTTGGATCCTCAACCATCCGATAATTTGGGAGTATGGTTCTCTCCATTTTACAGCCAGTTTTCGCTTGTTCTCCTCCGAAACGCTTCATATTCTTTGTGGGGGACTCCTTCCGTGGAACATATTAATGGTGTGAAGCTTCCTCTGATGTCTTCGGCTGCTTTGTCATATTTATTGTGTTTCTGAACGGCATGGTTTCGAGATATTGTTCCCCATTCTTGGTCGGCGTAAGAGGGAGCGTCAGCATTAACAATGCGATTATCAAAAAACGCTACTCTCTCAGCCTCCCAAATACCATTAACTTTAAAATCAGCTTTTAAAGCAGGCACATTGTTTGCGGGGTCAGCTTCTCTCATAATAGGCTCGACTTCAACCCCTTTCCAGGCCATATTTGCTATCGCAGCACAGTGGTCTCGATGTTGATCATGCCCATGTTTGATCAATCCTCCTTTTTTACAATTTAAAGCATGTGTACGATTCATAGGTAGATCACAAAATGATTTGAAGATTTTTAAGCCAAGTTCTGCATTTTATCCAAAATTTGATAAATTTTTGTCTTTATGAATTCCTTGGATTTAGGTTATGTCAATGTATAATTTAATTTCTCTAAGCGATCCTAAGTAGTTCGCACATATTCATCACAATTGCCATTCGTCACCTGTCAACTTCCTGACCTTTCACCTTAACCTTCTCAACGAGTTGAGTCAACAAAATTTCCGTAATGGAAGTGGAGCCGGTAGAAAGTAGATTATCTCTGTGGCGGTGAGTGGTGGCGGTTGGCGGTATCTGAGGTGGTGATGGCAGTGGTGGCGCTCCACTGCCTGTAGTATCGTCAGTCCAGTGCTTGTCGACTCACTAGGTGGATCACAGCGAGATCAGGTAGGCAGATCTATCCGTACCTTGGTGTCGTTTGAGTCTGAATTCAATTGTTGATTTGAATGTACAAAACAATTTTACTAAATGAATTTTAAACTAAATGACGAATCTTTATTTTAAAATGAGTGTTTTGTGGTGCATCAAGGACTTGAGTCGTAAAAAGTAAAGTGTCAAAAATAACGTGGCAATTTTAGGTTATTCATTTACTAATAACATTATAATAGCTAATAAAATCCTGTGTTACTTTTCATGTAAATATAAATCATTGCTATGCATTAAATATTGAACTGGGTTAGAATGTTCTCGTTGTTTTAGGTTAGGCTTGCACTAATAGTGGTTTAACATTATTGTTTACTTTTGTGTGGTTCTCAAAAATCGTTCAAGTTGTCAAGATAAGACAAAACAGTACGACCATTATTCAGTTCAATGAGATGTTTTTCGTTGCGATGACATTTTCGAATGTTGAAACTTCATTAAACACATTAAATTAAATCACACACAAAACGGAACGTACATAGCCTACGTTAAACATTTAGATAGCGCTATCATGATACCGTAATGAGTCCGGTGCGGTAATATATTCTTTTTTGTGCTACGGTAATTTTTTTGTGTAAGCCAATTCAACTAAATTACCGTGGACTATTTGACCGAGATATTGCCAAACCTGTTTTTGTCTTAACAACAGATTCTAGGGACCAGAAGCATTAATTGATATAAAATATAATCCCCGTTGGGCTGTGTGAGGAAAATTTAATGGAATATATTTTTACTGAATGGAGCCATAGATTTATTTGCTAGATGTCAAAAACAGTAAAATAAATTTAATACGTTATGGTCATTGACAACATTTTTAATGGAGCTATTAAGTCCACAGAATCAATACATTTAAAATTCATTTTATACTGAGGTGTGGTAATAGTTTAAACTACTCAAAAAACCGTGTTTTTTTTTTAATTAATCTAAACTTAAAAATGTATCAACGAGTTCTGTAAAACCAATCACTAAATCAATTCAACACAATTTTTGTATTTGAATTACAACATCTAGTTTAATTGCTGTGCAAACAACGTGCATTGATAAGCTACTCAATGTAGTCTGTTTGTTGATCGCTACACTATAACTACGTGCTACGTTGTTTGTTGTTGCTAGTCGCTGATTTCAGTACTATGTTTGGTCAAGAGAAGATGAGGTAATTGGTGTCATTTCGCTGATTCACCAAAACACAGAATGTATCGAGTAAGTGAATTAATCCAGTGTCATGAGTGACATCAATTTGTGGGTTAATCGCTAAAACAAAACGATTTTCGCATTTAAAATACAACGTTTTGTGACCACATCCATGACCCAATATCCCCTAGAACATACTCTAGAATGGAGGCACTTTTTACACAAATACTTTAGACAGAATTAAAATTTATTATTAATCCATGCGAAAATTCATAAATTTCGTGTTATGCCTACCTAAGAAGTCTCCGTATACAATGTACGTTATCTATTCATGATTTGGAATACAATAGTGGCAACAGGTGTAGATATAATTGAAAAGAATGATTGTGGAAAAATAAAACCAAAAAACTTAAGTGAACATGTAACTAATAATTTATTTATATCAATTATTTCGAATAGAAATTATTCGAAAGTACGGTGTGAAAAAATAACCGCATAAGTATTTAAATACAAATACTTTCGACAAAATAAACATTACACCTAGACACTGTCTTTGTTACACTCAGTTAATGAGTAGGATGTTTACGATTGTTGATATAGAGAAATATGTTTGTATTGACCATACGTTTTAAACAAAATTTCTCTTTTAAAATATTACAGAAATATAGAGAACCAATGTACACATTAAGATATATATTTACATTTACCCATATATTAAACCAATGCTATTTATTTTAACGAAGTGTTAGTTTGTTTTCTTTTGAACGTTTAAAATAATAAACACCTAATTATAAAACAAAATTTAATAGGTCTATGATTAATTTTTGTAATTGTGATTTGTGTCATTGTAAAGTTAAAACTATTAGATCATCTAAATAAAAACTTGCTCATCAGCTTCTTGCCTCCCTTAAGGAAATTAGTTCTAGAACCAGTTTGATTTCGTGCCTGTACTTTTGTTGTTTTTGTTGGATTTTGCAAATTATCTAAACAACAATATCCACTAAACTATGATTATCGGACACCTAAATATATATATATACCACCTGCAAATCTTGGTTTGTAATTATTGTGCATGATTAAAGTACAAAGTGGAAAGTGCGCACACAAAATGTCGTGTGATAGAAGTTTGTCGGTGACGCAAGCAGTCTGTTCACTAAACACTGGTTTTACTGGTCACTCACTGATCATGTCGGAAGAGGCAACAACCAGTGAGTTATTTAAACCCGATAATAACAGAACAGGTGAAGGTGACCTTGGAAACTGCGGTGCGGCGTCTAGCAGGTCTGCTGCAGCAAATTATACGTCACTGCACAAACCAGGGTCTGGTCCACACATGTGACAGAACGGGCACGAGACTGATAGATAAATTGGCTAAAATTGCTAAACTCTTTGACATGATTATACAATTTACGAGTATTTTTACACATATCTGATCTGTATTATTCCTACCACACAAGTTTGGTCAAGTTAGGTAAGGATTGCATCGTTACATTGTAAAAAATGTATGGGTTAAGATAGCTTAAAAAGCACATTTTACCAGTAAAATTAAAATATAAAACTATTATGTAGTATACGTGGGATCCAGCTATCTGTAAAGTTTAAAGATTAATACATGTAATCATTGTATAATTATAGGAAGAGTAAGCACGCAGAATGTTGTAATACTGAATATTAAATATTTTACTCGACACAACACAAGATCTCTAATTATTTTTAAAAATCTTCCACGATTGTGGCGTTGACTTAAAACCGCAAAATCATGTCACAGCGTATATGTTTTTTTAACGAAATATTACAATATCCAACATCGATATTCGTGCTACTTTTAGAGCGCAAGATGTACGTCGGTTATCGTAGTACGTTTTCTGTGATCTAAGTTACATAAGTTATGATTTACGAAAGAGTGTCCATGATCTTTTTATCATTTCCATAAAACGGCTTTGTACAATATTCGTCAACAACAAAACGCATAAATTTTGTTTGGATTGTTTACAACGCAATTCAACGTTTACCTGTATGCGGTAAAAGAAGCAAGTAAGAATATACGATGAAGACTGTTCTAGAACTATTTCCATCAGGGTATTCACACTATAATTTACAAAGAATCGCTCCCTTGTGTAAAGAAAGCAGTAAGCTTGTTAATAACTACTGTATACCGAGCAAAGAAACAGAGCAAACCAGCTAGATATACATGACGTCACGGACTCGTCTTCAAAGAGTAGGTCTGAAACGTTGCTGATATACTTGACGCCGAAAATAAAACTGTTTGTGAGAGGAGTATAACCACAGCGGGTTTGTATGATCTGTTTGTGGTTCGTTTGTGTATTTGTGAAGAAATAATTCATGATACTGCGATTCTCTTTGACAATAGCGTTTAAATAATTCATAACAGAAATAGCATGTTCTGCTGGTGCCTCCAATACGAGCTAGTGTTTATACGGACGTTGATAAGAACTTGTACAAACAATGTCAGCACGAAATGTAAATCTAAGTATTTTATTTTTAAAATGTCAGGCAATGAGATATATGATGTATTTTATATTGTAACTAGTTAGTCTCAGTACGCCTTTAAATTTGTTTTTCATTTTTATAGGCATAGTTTTCTTGTATGACTGTTTATTATTTCATGTCTTCTCTTTTCACGTACCAGTATAAATAATATAGTCACATTAATTACCATTAATCGTAAAATTATTAATTCTTCTATGTCTTACATATATTTCTTTAGAACTTCTACGTCCGAAGTAACATGAAAAACATTTTTATATTCATTATACTTATTTCATATAATGTATACACAGACATTTGAGTTTCGTAGAACAAATTGTTTATCATCTTCACAGTAACTTATTTATTTTGTACATAAAGTATCTACAGTACATCCATATTAACGTACATAATGTTTTGTATACATGACCCCATAAGGTCGTCAAAAGGTACAGTTCAGTCACCGCCATCGCATATTAGCCTGGGCCCAGTAAATCTCAGATTGGCATTGTTCTTGTTCATCTTGGTACTGTATGTGAATCAAAATAAACGGATTAGATGATGGTAAAAAGGAAACACATGTGACGTCAAATTTTCGAAGGTTTTAGGGGGATTTACTCAGCTGTGGTTGTGAGTTCTGATTCGTGATTTCCTACCATACTGCATAACCGGTTCTTCCACGTTGCTTTACCACTGTACTACTGTACCTAGCAGCAACCCAACCACTGTGACTGTGGTCGTGGTCGTGGTGTTATGGTTATGGGAGTGAACGCCCGGATATCAAACAACCGGTTTAGTTTCGCAGCTATTATTCTGCAATACATTTGACAGAACCGGTCTATCACGTGACAGACGCCCTCCGACCGAGTCACCGTTAGTTTGTTAAGAAGGTCGTGAGTGATAAAGATGCAGCTGGGGTCGCTGCTGAAACTATTGAGTGGAGGTGGTCTCATTTCTAAGGGCACGGTATCTTCTAATGTAGAACGGCTAGGAGATAAATATATACAGTACCTACTATCTTACACATTGGCGAGACTGTACCCTGTACCTTAAGAATTGAAGATAATCTACTCTTAGGAAGCAGGTGCAGTCAATTAATACCATGTAATTAGAATTGCGGGTCTTGCACACAATCTTGAGGTATATTGCGGATTTCAGATTATCTGATGACTTGTAGGTTGGACTGGTTTGCATAGGTTTTGTGACGGTTTGTTGGGCTGGTTCAGTTCAGGAATTCGTCTACAATTTATTAAGTCTTATTCCGTAATTAACAACATCAAACTCATTTGGTTGGAGAACACGATGAATAGACGTTGGGAATAGCAGTCTAATTCGTAAGTTACTTCCAT